TCTCAGCCTTTTTTGTTGCTACGCATATGCGACAAAAAGTGGTAGAAAACGAGTGATACGAAGGATATAATACAGTAATGCACTTGCCCGCTTCAAAAACTGGTGCAGAACGATTTTGCCAAACCGCACCAAAGCAGCCGCACTGCCACGCCCCACCGGTCCGCAATGATGAGGACTGTAACTATTACGCCTTTCCTCAATGGTTATCTCCCTTCTTGTCCGGGAGCGTCTTGGTGAAAAAGGCAAAATAGCCGTAATTCCCTACCAATTGTGATAAGAAATCAGCTGGGATTAGTTGCGACGGCCATATCGACCCACAACTGTCCGGTGAGGCATTGTTCACAGTCTCCAGGCCCTGACGAAACGGCGGTTGGGAGAAAAGCAATAAATAGTCATCGATCGGAGAATCGCCCAACCGTCCAACCGCCGCGGTTGGGCGGTTGGGCGAAAAGCAGTAGATGTGTATCGATTTCGCTGGCGAAAAACGCCACCGCGATGGAGCTAGCGTTTTGTCGAAGGCGAAAAACGTCGCGGTTTGGCGAAACGCCCGTCGATACGTACCAAAACCCTTTCGCCCAACCGCCAGGCTCTTCGCCCAACCGCCAGTCGATATGTATCGAAAGCTTTTCGCCGAACCGCCGCGTTTCAGAGAAACGCTGGACCGCAGAGTGTGAACAATGCCTTATCACCCCTAGTCGCTTGTCCTCTGCTCCTGCAAACTCGCTCTCTACGGGGCTTTGTTTGGGACGATTGATTTTTCTGTTTTTTCTCCATCACCGACTCTCTTGGCATCTTGGCATGCCCGAAACTTTGAATACCTGATTTCGGCTGTGTCTTTAACATTTTCAGTTTTCAGCCCCAGCGTACGAGAGTTCATAGTAACACATGTTTTAGCTAGAATTCTCATTATGTTTTGGTGATGTTAAAAAGTGTGAAAGTATTGCCTCTTTGTTAGTACAAGCCAACCTGTCATGACTTCAGATGGCCATTTTTCGTATCAGGAATGATGTCGGTAATTTCTACCGCCCTACTGCCCACTACTGCCTATCTGGGTCTTCCATATCTCTTAGTCTTTCGATTTGTACAGGTCAGGTTTTTCATAAAGTCAAGGACAACAGTAGTGGTATTTTCGGGGCTAACGGTCTCGGCTCTGGCCGTGTAAATACAATGCACATCCAGCGATGGAGTGGGCCTGGCAACGTACTTTACTCGAATATGGTGTAGGATGCGTTGTTCCTGGATTATTTCCGTTTGTAAAAGTATTGTCCTTTCTTGTATTGGACAAAGTCATGGTTGCAACTGTTCTGAAACTGCAATATCCCTCGGGAAGAGTCGCCACACTCAAAAGAAGTAAGCAGCACAGACGTTCCACCTTTGGACATAGTGTGTACGTTTTTTTGCTTTGTCCCGCAGGTCAAGTACCAATTGATGACCTGTGCATTGCAAAGCTGCATTAGCCTAGACGAGAGTGGATTTGAGAAGGATAAAGAACAAAGTCTTCGCCGTTGATCAATCCCTTTGTGGGATGCGGCACGCATTCTACTTCATTAAGAATCGTAGTGGCTTATTGTACGCGATGTGGCCTATACACACAAGTCTGTGTTATTATCCTCCCAGACAAATCTGGTACCAAAGCACCGTTCTCGGGGGGTAGAAGGCATTGGTTGGCCTGGGCGGGAGGCGACCCGGGATCTGAACCCAGGACCACGCGGGTGGTAAGCGCGCCACTTGTCCATATATAAGCAGAAGTTGTTTGTGTGTCTGTGCGTCTGTCTGACCGCCTGAAATTGGGGTTTCGTGGAAATTCGCTTTAAGGGCACTGAATGTGCTTCAAATAGACTTGGCATGAGCCAGCATTCAGAGCACATACAACGTCACCTGAGCTACGCCCACAATGGGCGCCCCGCCCATTGTCGTAACTCAGGTGACTTAGTGAAGTGGACGAAGCCGAGGAAAAA